AATTGGTCACACATGCCTGATCCCAGAACTGTGGTTGAAGATGAGACTGAGGCAGAAGTATCACCATAAATTTGAGATTACTCTAAACTATATAATAAGTTCAAGGCTAGCCTTTAATTACATAGCCAGATTCTGTCTCAAGAAACAAACAAAAAAATAAAGCACATAGGGCCCAGGATTTAGCTCAGTGGCCTAAGTGCCTACTTGGCAAATGCAAGGTCATGAGTTTGATCCCCAGTAACAAAAAAATAAATAAAATAAAATAAAGCAAGACTTAAAATAGGCATTCTATTTTACCTAGTCTTTTCCTAGTCAGAAAGACCTTAGGCTGAGGTCATTCAAGCAACAATGTTTGTTAAAGGGATAATCTGGTAATTGCTGCTGAATTTGAAGAAAATTTCAGGGTAAGGTGCTACCAGTTCCCAACAATAAATAAAAAGATCAACAACAAATAAAAAGATTGAGCTATATTATAGTCATATGTTACCAAATTCACATAGGATACCAAATTCAGATGACTCTGTCAGGCATGGTGGCACACACCTGTAATCCCAGCACTCAGGAGAATTGTTCCAAATTTAAGACCAGCCTGGGCTACAAGGTGAACTCAAGGCCAGCCTAAACTGCATAGCGAGACCCTGTCTCAAAGTCAATACACACACACAGACACAGACACAGACACAGACACAGACACAGACACAGACACACACACACACACACACAAAATCACTGTAACACTTGCCTACTGAAAAAAACAATACATACAGAAGAAAAAGTTCCTTCGTTAGTACATACTAATGTTTCTTAATAAGGTTCTATATTCAAATTTCCTAGAAATAAATTGTCTTTACCTCAGGACAACTGAAAACCCAACACCACCACCAAAATGAAGCTTCTATTCCCTCCCATTTGAGTACCTCATCGGGTACAAATACCTGCCTTGGAAGATCTGGCTTTGTTCTAATAATTTATTCATAAAAGGACTAAAGGTCTCTCTTTTTTTTCTTTTAAAGTTTTCATTTAAATAAACAAACAATGCCAAGTCTTGCACTGCCAAGTCAGAAAATCCAAACACTGGGGCTAGGGGTTTAGCTCAGCGGCTTAAGTGCCTGCTTGGCAAACTCAAGGTTGTGAGTTCAACCCCCAGTACCAAAAAAATAAAAAAATAAAAAATCCAAACCTTACCCACTTTTGTCATTTCCTAACTGTTCAACTCCAACACTTCAAAATAAGCATTCTAGTTCCAGCAAGTAGAACTTATGCCCCAAAGCAATCAATCTATATATCTACCCATCTAACTATCTTCTTCAAAGTTGCAATTCTTTTCCACATGTAATAAGTAAATAATAAAGTTTGGCAAAACACAATTTTTAAGCTACTTCTGATTTTTTTAAGAGTGACTTGCCAGGCATAGTGGCACACATCAGTAATCTCAGCATTCAGAGGCTGAGGCAAGAGGCTGGGTTTAAGCCCATGAGCCCAGCCTGAGCTACATAGCAAGACCCCGCCCCAAAACAAAAAAAAACAAAAAAAAACACCAAAACAAAAAAGGAATGACAAAGAAAGGTAGGTGTATAACTATATCAAAATTTGCTATGCCCTTGAAATAGCTACAGTAGGTAAAAACATTAAAAGGATACATTCAAACATGAAGTTTTTTTTAGTAAGAATACAACTTTTAGACAAAAAAAAAAAGAGTGGGGCTGGGGATTTAGCTCAGCGGCATAAGCACCTGCCTTGCAAGCAGGCAGTCATGAGTTCGATCTCTGGTACTGATAAAACGAAAAAGACAAAAAAAAAGAATACAATTTTTTTTTTAAAGGTAGGGAGAGTCCTGGATACGAAAGTCACTTCTGTCCAAAACAAATTTAGATTCAGACTTTTTTTTTTTTTTTTTTGTCTTTTTCCTTTTTATCGGTACCGGGGATCGAACTCACGACTGCCTGCTTGCAAGGCAGGCGCTTATGCCGCTGAGCTAAAACCTCAGCCCCTAGATTCAGACTTTTAAAATTAAACTATTGGGCCAGGGATTTAGCTTAGCTACATAAGCATCTGCCTAGCAAGTGCAAGGTTGTGAGTTCGATTCCCAGTACCAACAAATAAATAAACAAATAAAGTAAAATTATAGTACGCTTTCTCTGCCAAGGGGCTATTTTGAATTATGTCAAAAAAGATCATGCAGATTTTGTTCCATAATACATTAATAGTCAATAACACTCTAATGCAATATACTTTGTCATTCAATTAAATTTAACAATTATATACAGCATGGGACTACATAAACTTTAACCACTAAGCTAAATTAATTAACCTAGCATTTTGTCTCTCCAACTTTATGTTCCCTGGTCAGTAATTGCAATATAATACAGGAGAAAGAGACACAATGGAGCTGGCAGACATAGTTGCTCAGTGGTTGAATACTTGCCTAGCATGAAGGAACCCCTGAGTTTCATCCTATCACCATGCAAAAAGAAAAAAAATGAATAGAGCATTAAGTGTGTGTGTGTAAAATTAACAACTATTAAAAATGACCATAACTCTTTGAAGACAAGGGGAAAAAAAACTTTTTAAGTCTTTTCAGTACTTGATTTAATGTAAGTTCTTCACTCTGCCTTTATCTTAGTCTTAAAAGTCCTCAAATAACTTACTTAATAAAAAGGGGTATGAGCACTAACTACACAGAGACATTAAAAGTTTCAGCCAATCACAGTAACACGTCTACAATCCCACCTACTTGAGAGGCTGAGGCAGGAAGATTGTAAATTCCAGCAAGCTGGGCAATTTAAAATTCTGTCTCAAAATAAAAAGGCATGGGGATATAAGTCAGTGGTTAAGTGCTCACCTCATATTCATGAGGTCCTGGATTCAATCCCCAGTATCTCCTCACCAAAAAAAAAAAAAAAAAAAAACCTTCAGTAGACAGATTTAAATAAGCCACCAACATACTCTTTATCACAGGACTCTAGGAAGATGAGGCAGGAGGATTCCAAGTTCCATCTAGTCCAGCATAGGCAACTTGGTGACACAGTCTCAAAAATTAAAAATTAAAAACGGGCTTGGGGATATAATTCAGTGCAAAGTCTCTGAGTTCAATCCCTCGTACTACACATACACACATACATACATACACACACACACACACACACACACACACACACACACAGTTGTTATAGAAGGTATTTACACTTGACATGTAATTTTGGAAGGCAGCTATGCTCATCACTATACCACCAACACCACATATAATTTTGTCATGTAATCATAGAAAAGAAAACACACATTAGTTACCCTAAACTTCAAAATCATTATTCAAAATTCTGAGAAAGAGGCCCAAAAATACATACAAAATTGCTCAATAGCACATTTAGCAAAAGGAAGAAAAAATGCTAGATAAGGAAAAGGTTAATATGTGCAACAGGTACAATCATCTTACAACTAAAATGAAATAAAACTCTTCCCAGGACAAAAGTTAGAAAGTCCTTGCTTGGATCTTCTTACCATACACCATTCTAGTTATAAAACATGAAAAGTTTTGCTTGCTGAAAGACCCTTCTTCTAAAGACTAGATCCTAAGACCTCTCTATCCATCGAACAGTTCAAAAATTCTCAGCCTTGCCAGGTGTGGTAACATACACCTGTATTCCTAGCACTAGTGAGGGTGAGGCAGGAGGATCACTGAAAGTTCAAAGCCAATCTGGGCTACACAGCAAATTCAAGGTTAGCTTGAACTACGGTGAGCCTTGTCTTAAAACAAAACAAAACAAAACAAAACACACCAAAAACTCTGCCTCACCTGATAAATACGAATTCCACATAGCAATGACTACCTGAGGAGAGAGTTTGCAGTATCCTCTCTTTTTCTGTTTCCAAAAGAAGTTTAATTCAGATGTTATAATGTCAAAACAAATTCTAAACATTTCTAAAATTATTTTAAAAATCCACTTTATTTTAAAACAGACAAAGAATTATTTTGCAACACATGGATTGAGAACAAGTGACAAATCACTGAAATGAGACTCACCAAAACATATGCCTACCTGCTAATATACACCAAACCTTTTTAACAGTCACATTAAAAAAAGAAAATAGGGCCTTTCTCAAAAAGTGAGGATCGTAAGAAAACGCATTAGAAAATCACTTTTTCCTCCACAAACTCAGTCTAAAATGCAGAGCCAAATAAAACTACCATAGATTCCTTCAGTTATAATCTAGGCCTTTAAGTTCACCAAATTTTACATACTATGTACAAATCCGTGGCTTTCCTCATATAACAATCCATAAACACAAGTTCAGTTTTTGTAGAATATTAATACAGTTCTCTTCAAAGAAAACAAAAATCAAATCTTAAACTACAATAGGAAAACAATAAAGCATATGCCTGCACAAGTTAATCTTTCCAAATTATGACTAAAGTTTCTTTCAAGAAGATATATCTCACACACTCCTCTCAAAATACAAAATAGAATTTCATTAACATCCCTTATTCTATTCTCAATCAATCCCTCATCAACTTCACAAGTCTACCAAAGTATTAATTTATTAACATAATCAACAGTTCTACTCCTCAGCACAAAAATTACAAATCCTGGTACCACATAATCCTAAACAATGATAAAGAATCATCCTTCTTCAAACTGTTTTGTCCCTAAAATTTACATTTTAATGTAATTTATTCAATTGGATTTAGTATAATCTCAGTATGTAAAATTAGGAATTCTTGTCTCATTTAATCTAAAATATCCTTTGGTTTGCTATTGTTTTTATAAAAGTTAAAGCTATGACTCCGTTTTCAAACATGATGAATATTAAGGCAATGACTACTTGGCTAATGCCTAATTGAAATATTAATACATTAACGCCTCACATTAATATTAATGTATAATCCCCTTTCTCTAGTACACAGAAAAGCCACCTGAAAAGTTCAGTGATACTAAATTCATAAAAGAAAACAAAATAGTTATTCTACTTCAAAAACCTGGAGAAAAAAAGAAAATACTAACCAGTCTCTGGCTGTAACGAATTCTTTCTTCTTCGGGTTCCATCTCTCACTCTTCTGTTGAAATTACTATAAAGAAACCACTCCAGGACTGCCTTCCTCTTCCTCCTTAGGAACCAGATTGCAACACTAAAGAATAATGATATGAGAGATGAGAACTCATTCTCAAACTTACGCTTTCTTTCCACAGAAAGGAGTACGGTATTTTAAGATATAAAATAGAGCCTCTCTAAGAAATCAGTTTCTTCTTCATGAGTTTGGGACCTTCCTGCTCTTTGGCTAGTGGTTCCATGTCACGTTCAACATTAATCACCACATACAACTGTACAAGGCCTAAGCAAAAGGAGATGTTTGTTTCAGTTCCTTGTGGACAGGCCACACCACTTATTTCTGCCCACGGGATGGCAATTACTAAAGCTCCCCTTTACTGCATTAGCCCAAAAAATAAACAAAACGCCACACCTCAGGACTTTTATCTCTAGAGATCTGACCAGGCGAAGCACTCACTGAACTAATCCAGATCCTAACCAAATTAGTTGTTACATCGGTAATTAGAAACCAAGGGAAAGAAGGACAGACTGTCTACACTATATTAAAGGAAGACCAGAAATTAGGATCTAAAGACCACAAAAAACAATTCCCCTTACCCCTCCAGAAAGGCAATATACAATTGTCACCCCAGACCTACCCTCTACCCCAACACAATAAATATACACATAACTCTGAAACAAATCCGAGAGTTGCAAATCAAGGAACAAAAAAAAAAAATCAAATCTGATCTCTTTGGATAAAATAATAAAACAACTCTATCTATGGATAAGAACAAAACACATCCTTTCCAAATATTAAAGAACGGCTGACGCGACAGTCAATCCGTAACACCAAGCAAGGTTTTCATTTTTCTAAATAGTCTTATGGATAATGGCTTCCACTGGGAATGCAAATTTTTCCTCTTTTGTAACTACAGTACGGGCACATTATCAGCATCCTTTCAAAACTGCTAGGAGACCAGAGGACCCGATGACATAGTTTGCCAAAGCAGTTCGTGGCAGTGTCCTCCCGGAGGAAGCCTTCGCTCGCGACCGGGAGGGACACTGTGTCTACACCCCCGGCTGAGGGCTGCCCGGGCCAGACAAGAAAAACGACAAATCTCGCCATCCGCCCCCAGGAAAAAGCGTCCCAGTGGTTCACCCATCGGAAAAAGAAATAAAAACTTTAAGTCTTTCGATAACACAGAGAACCAAACTTCCCAAGGCAGAGGGGGGAGGGGGAATCTCACCGGGGATTCTGCTCTTGAGTTCTTGTCCAAGTGAGAAGTGAAAGATTCCAAAAACTGAGAAGAAAAATTAAATCCCAAACGTCGTCTTCGGATATTCCGGGGATCAACCCAGTATCGAGAGGGTCACAGCGACCCGGAAAAGAGGAAACAGTTGCTGGATCCAATCTCCTCTTCAGGCTTTGGAGACCGGGCGTCGGAGGCGTCAAGAGAGGGGAGCACGACCCTCGGCGCCTCGCCCGGCCCGGCGGTCAGCAACCCGAAGGCCGGGCCGGCCCGACAGCGGGGAGCGCCCCCCTCGCCTTGCTCTGGGCCAGCAGCGGCCGGCAGCCTCGGAAGCCAGGAGCGGCGGCCGATCAGCTGAGACCGGCCCGGCCGAGGCTCCCTGCACCGCTCGGCCCCCCGGAACGCGGGCCCCGGCCCCGGGGGGCAGAGAGGGCGTGAGCGGCGCGGCGCGCCGAGCTGGAGGCCCGGGCTGCCCTCACGTCTCCCCTTCAGCCCCGGCTCTGCGCTGCGGGACGAGTCCCCGGCTACTCCCCAGTCGCAGAAAGGGGACTCCGGGATACGGGCCCCCTGGCGTTGCCCCTCCTCCCAGAGCGCCCCTTGCCCAGGATAGACAGAGCAGCGACAGGCCCAGCCCCTGAAACAGTGCTCTGGGAGCTGCCGCCGCCGCCGCCGCTGCCGGGGAGGGGTGTTGTTTCCCTCACACAGGAGGAGCCGCTGAAGCAGCCGCCGCCATTTTGAACCCGTCAGACTCTCACATACACACTGCTCTCAGCGGAGCACTGCGCAGGCGCCGCCTCCCCACCCCTCCTCCAGTTAGCCTCTCCACCCCCACCACCTTCTAGCTTCCCTTTGCTTCTTACCGCTCTCCCGGGCGCACGTGAACGCGCACGCGTCACTCCCCTCTAACGTGAACACATCGCCGGCGCGCGCACGCGCGGATGCGCCGGCCTCGAATCGCCCGCGTCCCGCGACGCCAACGCGGCTCCCCGCCCCCCTCTCGCGTCAGCCTGCCCTGCCTCCCGCCGGCCTCCCCCCACCGCCGGCCTCCCGCCCCCGCTCCCCGCCGGTCTTCTTCCAGAGCTCGGGCCCGGCCGGCTGCTCGCGCCTGCGCGCAGAGTGTTGCTATCCGCCTCTCCGCGCGCCCTCCCCCACACACCCTCGCTCGAACACACACACTTCAGCTCGGTGACCCCGCCCCTCGCCGGCCAGCTGCGCTGGGCACCCTGCCCCCACCTCTCCTGGGAGGCTGGTGACCCCCCCACCGACCCCCCACCAAGCACAACATCCCCCTAGCAATGGGGAACTGCTCGCCTTTTCCCTCTCTGCGGCTCTGCCCCAGGCGGCCCGGCACAGTCACAGTCACAGTCACACAACCTGAGGGCCGGGTGGCCTGGGCTAGAGCAGCCCATCACAAAGCGGAGTCCCCCAGGGTCAGGCCACTGCGGTGGGGCGACCGACCTCTGCGTCCCACTCGGGGCTGCCCATGGTGAGGGGGCGCGGGCAGCGGGCGCCTTCCCGCCGGCTGCCCACCCCTCGCGCGCCGGCCCACGGGCCAAGGCCGGCCTGCCCGCCATCCCTGGACAGGCCCCAGCGCCCCCGCCGCCGAGCCTGTCCGCCCTGGGCGCGGGGACTCCTCGAAGCAGCGGCCCGGCCTCGCCTCACCCACTCCTCGCAGCTCCGAAGGGGCAGGAAACGGGAGAAGCATGTCTGTCCTGGGCTCTGCTCGCCCAGGAGAGCTCCAGGCGCTGGACACGGACGTCCACAGGTGCGGGGCGCGGGAGTGGTCTCCGCGACGACGGCCTGGGGGCGTCGGCGGCTGGCGCGCCCATCGCGGGCCGAAGGCGCCCGGGGAGGTGGCCCAGGAAGCCCCCGCTCCTCGGCCACGCTCAGGTTTCCGCAGCGCCGGTGCCCCGGGTGGGGCGTGACCCCGCCCCCGGCGAGTCGGGGCGCCCCCCACGGAGGGTTGCGTGGCCTGGTCCCAGCCCCGGGGCCGACCCCGCAGCCCCGGGCCGCAGCGGGCAAGGAGGCCCGGCTAGGAAACTGTCTCCTCTAGGTGCGCGCAGCCTCGCGCGAGGGTCAGCGATGGGGCAGTGGCGGCCCGAGCTGCGCCAGCCCTGCCCACGGACGGGCTCCCGCGGCTCGACAGCTGCTCGACGGGCAAGCAGACTCTGGACGTCGACAGAGCCCGGCCAGCAGTATCTGAGCAGTGCCATGCGAGGAGCCCAGCTGCGAACAGGGCATTTCCCCAGCCAATCTCCTGCTTTGGGGCCCGTTTGAATTATAAATCCCACAAAGGACAGTGACTTGGGCATTTTCCAGCCAAGTGCTTGACACTTGGCTTCACTATGCTCTTGCTAAGTGGTGTCACACAGATCTTTTTCTCCCTACAGTACTTTGGTTTCTAACTCTTCAAGCTCTTGATTCCTGGGAACTAGGAATGGAGAGAACATGGTGAATCATACGATGTGCATAAACTGTTAGGAAGATGTGAGTGAAAGACAATTGAAATAATACCTTCTATTTCTATCAAAGCTTGAAGTCTAGGGCAAAGGTGCTGCAAAAACCCAAGATATTGTCGTTTATTACATATAGCACAAGGTTTTTCTACATGCAGACTTAGGGAGTTTTTAAGATATTTTCGGCTTTGTTTCACATCTTTAGTAGAGAAGTTAAAGTGCTTTGTATCTTTTGTACTCATTATAAAGGTAGACAATTGAAGTGGAGGGCTAAAGACCTTGTATACTACAACAGAGGAATCTAGCATTCTCCTGTTTCTCACTGAAACACCTCGCAAAAAAAAAATTGGTTCTTTCCTATGGTCTCATCACCTTAAAATCCAGTCACTGGCCAGTATTCTTTATTCTGATGCCAGTTGCTCTTAAAGGACGCTCAGATTTTCAGAACATTGATACAAAGAAGATAATCACTGAAACTATCAGGTCTTAGGCCTTTCTCAATCTTTCAGGCTCCAGTAAAATATATTTTAAAAGCATTCATCTTTCACACCAGTGTTACCAAGTATGGCCCCAAAAGGATCTGGCTCTTTGTAAAGTCATCAGCTTGTTTTGTTTTCAAAGAAAATATTTGCCACTGTCAGATTAATTTTTGGGCCTCCTTTGCTATTTGCAAAATAAATAGTTTTATTTCTTTCTCATTCCTTCTTATAACCCAGGAATACTGGGGAGCAAAGAAACAGAGGTCTCCAGCAGTAGCTGGACTAAGTGATTAACCCTTAATAAGCCAAATTTGTGGCCCTCAACAAAACTCTCACAGGAACTGCCTACAAGCTTAGTTTAGGTAGGTGTGCTGGGAGTAGACACAGAAAATCAGAAAAGTAGCAGCAGTGTTTATTCTGAATGGGATCTTAAGTACAACAGGGGTTGTCAAATTTTGGGCTGCTCTTTCCCACTTGAAAACCTTTTGGTAACTAGTCTGCAATCAGGGACATGGACATTTAAACAGTTACATACACAGTGGTTTTTCCACAGGCAGGCTTTGTTAATATACCAAGCAGATGTGCAGGGTGAGATAAGAGATAGGCAGATGGCTAGTGAAATCCCCCCACAATCACAATGACTGCACTTGGCAAGAGCAGATCTGTGAGGCTCCCCCTTTTGCCTTAAAAGAACCATTTTCAGGGAGAATACAGTTTGGGAGAACTCTGAGGAAGGCCACTAGAACTATGAATTAACTATATGGTTTCAACTGTGAAGACAAGGGGAGTATGCTATGTGGGAAGAAGGGATGAGAAGGAAAAAATCCTTCCAGAAGCACTGAGAAGTTTCCTGGCTGGAATAAACTGATGTCTTGATAAATAAACTAATCTCTGTTTTCAGATTATTTCTTTGCAGAGGATTTAGGAGGTGAAAGATAACTCTGTAGCTTGGTTCACTATGTTAAAGTGTTTCCAATATCCCTTCAGATGATGTTAGGAAGTAAGGATGTACCAAAAGGTGTAAGTCTAAAGCAAAATAAAGAACTTGGTCTTGAAGATTCCCCAGGAGGCAGCATAAACAGTGGTTGAAGAACTTGGTCAGCAGAGACAGAATGACTATTCTTCTGGTTTCTAGCTACTTGGCTTTTTTGTTTTATTTTTTGAGATAGGGTCTCACTTTGTAGTTCAGCTCACTCTGAACTCTCTGTAATCCAAGCTGGCTTCCAACTCAAAATCCTCCTGCCTCAACCTTCCAAGAGCTGGAATTACAGGTATATGCCACCACACCCAGCTTCTTTTTCCCTTTTTAAAAGTAGATCTTGCTATGTTGCCTGAGGTGGATCCAAGCTTCTGAGCTCAAATGATCCTCTTGTCTCACCATCCCCAGAAGCCAGAACAACAGGTGTTAGGCTATACTTCTGACCTCTAGTTTGAAGGAAAGTTTTGAATTAAGATGTTTCAGTATTTAAGCAAATTGCCATCCTGAACTGCAAAGTAAGAACCTATCTCAAAACAACAACAACAAAACTGCCAGGTGTAGTGGCACACTCCTTATTCCCAGCTCTTGGGAGGCTGAGGCAGAAGGATCATCACAAGTCAAGGCCATACAGTGAATTCAAGGCCAGCCTGAACCACACAACAAGACCCTGCCTCAAAAATAAACTGGGCATACCTGTAATTCCAGCATTCAGGAGGCTGAAGCAGGAGTCACTGTGAGTTTGAGGGCAGCCTGGGCCACGTGGTAAATTTAAGGCCAGTCTAAACTACAATACCAAGAAAACAAAAATAATAAATTTTAAAATTTAAAAAACAAAAATTTAGGCAAACTAAAAAGTTTTCACATAGCTGGGCTTGGTGGTGCACCTGTGTAATCCTAGAAGGCTGAAGCAGTAGGATCACTATGAGTTTGAGACCACCCTGATCCAAATAGTGAGTTTAAGGCTAGCCTGAACTATATAGTGAGACCCTTTCTCAAAAAAACAAACAAAACAAGTTTTTGCATGGTGAATCAAGAGTTTATACTTTAAAAGGCCCATACAGTAACTGGTCCTTATCTCCTCTGCCCTATGCTAGCTTCTTGTCTCTCCTTTCTATTCCTGTTGTCCCTGATCTCTATTTTTTCTCTCTTCCCTGATTCCATCTGTCTCTGTCTCATTGTCATCTGCCTCCTGAGATCTCTTTTCATCCTTCTTTCCATCACTGTACCCCATCCTCATTTCTGTTTGTTTGTTTTTTGAGACAAGGTCTCACTTTGTAATTCAGGCTGAATCTTTTCCTGAACATTTCCTTCCACCTGCATCCACTAGACTGTAAGTTATTTGTGGGCAGGAATCTGCCACATTTGTCACCTTCAAAGGACCTTCCAAAATCATTGTTACTGTGCCATCCCAAGAAGTAAAAATTGGATGTGGGGTGGAGGGATCTTGGCCTTTAAATGATTAGCAGTTTTCTTTTGAATCTGGAAGGAAAATCTGAATGGATCAAGAAAAAAGGAATACCCAGCAAATTCTTGTATCATTGAACGTGATGGCACATTAGGTTCTTGCATATTACACCAGACATGGTTGACACTTCCCTTGGGGACGTGGGCGCTCAGCCCTGCCCAAGTGCCTCCTTGCTGCCACATTCTCCAGGTCTGTGGCCCTCTTTGGTACCGTTACCTCTCCTGGGTCGCAGAGTTCTCTGCAGCAGCATCTGGAACCCACCTGCTTTTTAGCAGCCTTAGCTCATCTAGAGGCCACTTGCCGTTTCTAGGAGAGTAGGACTTCCTGCATAGCCCCAGACTACAACTGGAGATACAGGTCCCACACCTCTACATCTGTGTTTCCTAAAAGAAGTTTCAAGCACCTTGGGGCTCAGGCTCTGCTTGTAATATTGTGCTTGTCTAGTTCAAGGTAGTGGTGATGCTTGTGTGGTGTTCTACCACATTCCCCCAGGGACAGTTGCCTAAGCACTTAGACCTGTACCTCAGCTCTCTTAGTGTGTCTCATCTTGGCTCATCTTCTTCAAGGATGTGCAGTACCTTTTGCCAGCTTCTGGTAAGGCTGTCATTCTTTTGGATGCTTTGGGAGGGGTGCTTTACAGTCTTGGTTGATCACAGGTACAACAAAAATAAGTAAAGCAGAGATTGGCTCTTGCACTGTTCCTTCCTAGCACTGTTACAGACTCAAATGGATTAAAGAATACCCTTTGGAAACTGGAAGACAACAAGGATTGCTAATTGAGCATGGTGGCACACGCCTGTAATCCCAGCACTTGGGTTGTGATAGGAGGATCATTTTGAGTTCAAGGTCATTGGGGGTCACATAGTGAGTTCAAAGCCAGCAGGAACTATCTAGCAAAACCCTGTCTCAAAAAAAAAATTTTTTTTTTTTGGTCTTTTTTTTTTTTTTTTTTTTCTTTTTGTCTTTTTCGTTTTTATCGGTACCAGGGATCGAACTCACGACTGCCTGCTTGCAAGGCAGGCGCTTATGCCGCTGAGCTAAATCCCCAGCCCCTTTTTTTGGTCTTTTTGAGGCTGGCCTTGAGCTCACTTTGTAGCCCAGGCTGGTCTTGAACTCGCAACGATCCTCCTGCTAAGCCTCCCGACTGCTGAAATTATAGACGTAAGTCACCATGCCTGGCTTCAAAAAAATTTTTTAAAGGATTCTTGTCTTTTTTGTAAAATGTATTGTACTGTGGTAAGAACATTTAACATGAGATCAACTCCTTTCCATTTTGTTTTTTTTTTTTTTTTTTTTTTTGAGACAGGGTCTCACTATATCATCTAAATTGGCCCAGGCTAGGATAGAACTTGAGATCTTTCTCTGTGTGCCATCATACCCAGCCACCCTCTTAATTTTTTTTCCCTGGTGCAAGGAATCAGATGTCACGGTGTCACATATGCTAAACAAATTATTCTAGCACTGAGCTCCACCCCAGCCCTACCCTCTTAACAAATCTCTAAATGTACAGTTCATTTTCTTATTTCATTTTTCCTGGATGAAGGATTTGAGTACTTCCTGAGGACCTTATGCTCAGTACTAAATTAAGTTATTGAGTGGAAAAAGAAGGTTTAAGAAATTAGAACCCTTGCTTTTTACCCTTGAAGACTTCACATCCGGCAAAAGACACTGTGAAGATGTGACACACTTAGAGAATAGTCCTCTTTACAATGAATCATGGAAACATAATGTAGACAGTAAGAATTGGACACAGAATTGCCCTTGGATGTAAGCCCCGGGGGCAGGAAGTTTTACTCATTTTGTTCATTTGAGCATGCTCAGTGCTTATAGCAGTGCCAGGCAGTGCTGGTACTCACCAGGCACATGTGTGGACTGGATGAATAAAACAATACAATGATGATTTTGAAGGAAGCAGGAGTGTGAAGGCTAGAGGGGCTTTGCATCCTAGCAGAGTTTGATTTTGATAGAGTAAGAGAGGCACATATATCTTTGTGCCTAAGGCTGATAAAATAGGAATCACTCCCAGGAAACTGATGTATGACTGGAACAGAGGTGAAAGCAATGAAAGTCCCTACTGCTGCAAATCCAAGCTAGAACGTGAGTGTTGATTCCCCCGTCCCACGACCCTGTTGGTATATTAAACTCAGGCCTTTGCAGTGAGCTACATCCCCAGTTCTTCTCTCTGAATTTTGAATTTTGAAAATTCTATGACAAGTTCTCACTAAATTGCTGATTGCTGAGCTGTTCTGGCTTGGCTTGAACTTGAGATGCTCCCACCTCAGCTTCACAGAGTACTGGGATTGCAGGTGTTCACCACTGCACTTGGTTTTTGCTCTTTGTAGTAAAAAGATCCAGGCTGGCCTTGAACTCATAAGGACCCTCTTGCCTCAGCCTCCCATATGCTGGGATTATAGTTGCGCACCACCACCCACAAAGGTCCAGCTTATTTCATGATCTAGTCTTTCTGTTCCATTTCTCTCTGCTGTCTCCAATTTCCAGATAGCATCTTCAGTGTCCACACAGGAGTACGGTTTTTGGTGTGGTAGGATAAACTTAACATCTCAATTTTTCCCCGAGTGTCTCTTTAATCATACTATTCATTATGTGAGTAATTTTTTTAAGTGAGCATCTTTTTTCCCCAAAATGCTTGCTAAATATTTGAGCTATGAACTGTATCAAGTTTTCCCCTTCTTTCTGTCAAAAACTATTTTCCCACTCTCTGACTAACTGCAGGACAGTGCTGACTACGCTGAAAGTGAAATTTCCATGTTTTTTTTTTGTTTTGTTTTTTGTTTTTTTTGCGATTATACTTGATTTACCACAGCTTGGAGTTCATATTTTGATTTGGCCATGATTACTAGAGCTGCTTCTGCTATTGATCTAATTATCTTATTGGTGAATTTTGTATCCTTAGTTAACTCTCTTCCTGCACAATTTTACTGGTACTATAACAAATGTGGGAGTCCTACTTCTATGCCTTATTTCTTTATTTTTGGAACTGATTGCAAGATTTAACTATGTTTCTAATGCACATGTTTCTATGGGAGAAGGTTTGAGGATTTATGTTTTGGATCAGTATTGGTATTTTCTATAATAAATTTTATCATCCTCAGTTTCATTTTAGTATTTATTACTCAGGTAGTATTTCTGTTGTTTTTTGATATTGTTTTTGTGTCTTTGAGACAGCGTCTCATGATGCAGTTCAGGCTGGCCTTGAATTAATTGTGTAGTGCAGGCTGGCCTTGAGCTCACAGTGATCCTCCTGCCTCAGCCTCCCAAGTGCTGGGGTTACAGGCATGCATTACCACGACTGGCTTTCCAGTAGTATTTCATGTATTTTATGTGTCTTTATTGTCAACAAACTCAGAAAAGTGAGCAAATAGAATTCATAATTCCAACTTGCTGGAAAATATAGAATCTGCAATGGCTTCTTTTATCTGAATCCATGTCATTCCTCATGGAAGGGCAAGACTTTTTTTTTCTCAACACCGAGAATCAAACTGAGAACATTGTACTTGCCAGGCAGGCGCTTACACTGCTGGGCTATATCCCCGGCCTGAGACCATATTTCTTTCTATACTATAGATAAGTTCTCAAATTGTTCCTCACTCAATAGGCATCTAATTTGTAAGCTACTGGTAGCAGACAGCATGCCTAATGCTTTTTTTTTCTGAGACAAGGTCTTGCCATGTAGTTCAGACTAGCCTTGAGCTCATTATGTAGTCCAGGTTGCCCACAAACTTGAGGAGATCCTCTTGTCCCAGCCTCCTAAGTGCCACCATGCCCAGATTCTTTTTTCTTTTTTTTTTTTTAATTTCTTCTTTTTCTACTGCCTTTTCTTGGTTCCCCACTACCTCAATTAAACCTGCCAGCCACTGTCTCCTATTTGATTTGGTTCCTAATGATCATTATCATGAGCCACAGAATACATGCCAATTGATGTCTGCTGCACTAACTCCTTCCAAACAGTGTCTCCTGGATCCTCATCTATTAAGAGGTTATTAGCTCTGGATCAGAGACTCTTAGAGCTGACATGGAGACTGAAGGTCATTTAATCCTGCCTGCTTAGTATAAAATCGGCCATCTGAGCCCCAAAGACATTAAGCATCTTGGTCAAGGTCATGTGGTTAACTTGGTAAAGAAATTGCAACCAATAAACCATGTCTTCTGAAAGCTGGTCCTATGCACTTTCTGCTGTTCTTCAAATTAATGGCATCTTCTCACTGTCAGATCAGAACTTGGTTCACTCATCCCTTCCCCAGAAAGAGTAGAGCACTGTGTTTGGCACCAAGGTTGCAATAGGAGTGACAGGAGGCTATGTTATCAGGAGACAACTCAGGTAGTGAACAAAATTAGCCTTGAAAAAGTGACTAGGTCTAGGGGCACAAGTACTTGCCTGGCAAATGCAAGGTCCTGGGTTCAATACCCGGTGACAACAACAAGTGACTAATAATAATGGGATGCACACATCAAGTGAAAACCAAGACTATGTGACATGATGTACATCAGGTCTACACAGGACACAGGCATGCGTGCGTGTATACACACACACACCGTCTATGCAGGAGAGGAAAGGGCTAGTTCTGCTGTAGGGAAGGGGTGTCCCATCAGGGAAGGCTTACTGGAGGAAGAATGCTTGGGGTGACTTAAAAATTTCTGGCTGAGTCAGGTGTAGTGGCTCATGCCTGTAATCCCAGCACTTGGGAGGCTGAGGCAGCAGGATTGTTGTGTTGCAAGTGTGAGACCAGCCTGAGCTACAAAGTGAGCTCAAGACCATCCTAAATGGCATATTGGGATCATGTCTCCAAAAACAACAACAACAAAAAAAATCTAGTTGCCCTAAAGACAATGAGGGAAGGCATTTTTTGTCCCTGCAGCAGGAAACCAGTCCACAGACAAGAGCTGAGCCTGAGGACAGAGAGGAGCCTACCCTGAAAGCCTGCTCTCACCATTTTCAGCAAGTGGCTGGGGCTTTATCTCACAGATGATAGGTATTCCGTCTTCAAGCAACACAGATTTCTTGAGGGTCCATGCAGCAGGTACTGCAGGGGACACTGGGAACACTGTGTACCCAACAGAGAAATCCCTGCTCTGAGAGACACCAACACGGTGTGGTAGCCCAGTGGGGACAATGGGGATGCACTGTGGCTTCTGCCCAACTGTACTCCACAGTGAACATGTTGCCATGCTGAGCTTATGACATTCTCAGCGTTTTGGTCTCCTCACAAGATGGAGGTAAGAGTCCCTCTTCCGAGGTAGTTGTGGGGTCTACGTGAGGGAAGAGTCCCCATACTAGAACAGATCCTGCAGTGTAGCGCTGTCAACAAGCAAATTTATGAAACAGAACTTGCCTCCGTTTATTCAGCAAATGATGTATGTATGGATGATTCCGTGAGGAAAAGAGGGACAGCTTCTCTGAGATGACGCTGGAGGTGAAACTGTATAACAAAAAGGAACAGTCCGGGGAGAGGGCAGAGCTTAAGACCCTCCACAGGGAAGGACAGGCGTGTTCAGAAAGCTGTGGAACAGGAACACTGAAGTCAAGTGAGAGTGGCAAGAACCACAGCATCACCTGGCTGGGTCACACGAGGCTCACAGTAAATTAAGTTAGTGGTGTGGCACCTATGCAGGACAACTCATGGTGAGCCTAGACACAGAGGAATGATGAGGTTGTGTGCGTTCCAGAAAGAACTTATTCAAAAGCAGAGTACTAGCCAGGCATGGTGGTGCACACTTATAATCCCATCATCCTGCAGGTTGAGGCAGGAAGATCAAAAATTTGAGCCCAGCCTGGGAAATGTAGCAATCTACCAACATAGCTGTCTCAAAGTAAAAACAGAGCCAGGGACTCTCATGACTTTCCTGCTTCCTTCAGGGTATAATTTATCTTGGTTTCTCCTCTTGTACTCAGCCCAAGCTTCCTCTGCAGAGCCATTTTCTCTACGTTCATCTTTACTTTTTCAAATAAACTTTGCCATTGTTTAAAAAAAAAAGAGTAGGGGAACTGAGGATGTAGTGTAGTTTGAAAGCCCTGTTTGTAGTCACCAAGACTGAAAATAAATCAACATGCTGTTGAGAAAGTCAGATATTCTGTTCATCCCAGTGAAAGACAGTAAGGACAGGGCCTCAGGCAGCTGGAAGGACAAAAAGAATGAAGAGAGCGGTGTTTGAGTCACTGCTAGTGCCAGCTATTTGGAAGGCTGAGGCAGGAGAACCACTTGGGCCAGGACTCCAGGGCCAACCTGAGCAATAGAGTAAGTCTTCTTCTGAGAAAGGGAGGAGGTAAGTAAAGGAGGAGGATGCAGCAGGATTTGGTTATGCGCTGGATACTTAGGATGTGAGGAAGAAGGAGGGTTATGGCTGTGCCTCTTAGTTCATTTTCTTGTGGATGAAACAAAGTTCCTGACACCCAAAGTAAAGTACAAAAGGTTGTACAAGTTTCAGTTCATAGTTGGTTGGCTCCAAGGCAGGGTGGTATGGCACAGGAGAAATAGTCAATGATAGACAGAAGGCAACAAGTAGCACGTAACCACAGTAATCTTCCTTCTATCCTTTATATTTATACTCATACCCAGGTTGGGACACCTTTAATCCTTTCCAGAATTATGCCAAACCAATCAGTGGACTGATTTAGTAACCACACACCCTCGATCCCGGCATCATACACTGTAGATCCAGCCACCCCTGCAAAGCCCCACCTATGACTGCAAGAGGCTTTGTGGGAAACACCTAGACACAAGCCATAATGCTGTGTCTGTCCAAAAGGCTGAGTCCACATCTGTATACACTGAGTCTGGGTGAATAAAACACTTGCTGGCCTCGTAGGAACTGGAATGGAGGGGCAGTCTGCACCAGCCTTGGCAGTCTGGAAATCAATAGCAGCAGCAGATGAGGCCTGAGGCAGAACGTGATGGTTTGTGGACAGCATGGAGGAAAGAGCCCAGAATCCCAGGATGAGGTTTCAGAGAGAACTAGGCCCAGCTTTCTGTAGGTACCCAATTGCCACTTGAGGAATTAATGAATGGGAAAAGTGGCCACCAGAATGAGAAGCAAAGATTAGAGAGGCAGGAGAGATGAAGAAGGAAAGCTGGAGACAG